AGTGTAACACATCGAAATGATCAGAAACCAATTACTTAAATGAAAACAGTGGGCAATTGTACTTCGGATTAATACTTTGGCCCATAGAGGAGCGACAAGGAAAACAGGCGAAAAGTACGGGGGTAAAGTAGCTGTGTACATAGTCTTACCGTTGAAACAGTCGTTCCAACCTTCTCTCCAAGGTCCTTGGTGAGGTCGGTCAAGTGGTTTGGCTGGGCAAGGATGCTTGCAGAGCTCAATGTGTTGACCCAGTACTTGTTCCAAAGAAGACCAATAATGCGACTCTCTAGGGAGGACTTGAAGTAACTCACGTCAAGAGAGTAGTACTGCTTGCAATGAACACCAAAGTCCTCAATCTTGTCCATCGGGATGGACTGGTACTCAGAGGGACCTTCGTCTGGTGGTCGGTAACCGATGGGATAGGTTCGGAAGGCACCCAGATTCACTATATTTCAAAGGCAAAAAAGACTAGGCGGTAAAACAACAAATACAGGGACATGGAATAGCATGCAACCACTTCTGTGATTGAGCTATTTATTTCTCTGAGGCTAAATAATTATGATCCCATTGACCTTAGAATCCTAGTAAAAATATTGCAACGAAAGTTCAGATTGCCTTGCGTGCAAATCTTATTTACAAAGTTTGACACGGGATACATGAGTTGCATAACCATCTCGTAATTGTGTTTTGGCTCACGTATATGCGCTAGCGTGTGATAATACTCTGCAGGCTATTTAGTCAAATAGTGCCGGAGACCCTTCGAGTAATCTTAACTTAACTGACACGTCACGGTTTTAACATGAAGTCTACAACGACTTACCCTTGCCGGAGGATACTGTTCTGATGGGGTCGATGACAATAGCAACAAAGGGCTCCTGGTACGTCTGGTTCATGAGCTGCGTGCTCACATCGATGCCAGAAAGCCAGCAACCGTACCCAGGGTGGGAGTGATACCAACCCAGGACGTTTTCTGTTCGACCAACTCGAGAAACCAGCTCTTTGTAGGTGGTCATGTATTCGTAGGCCTCTGCCTGTGCGGAGGAAAGCAAGAATGAGAAAAAGTGTAGAGAGAGAGGCTTCGCGGCAGAGACAAGGCATAGAAACAGAAATGGGAAGACGAGAGGCCAAAAGAATATGCATAGTAGAGACAACGCTCTTATGACTTCAAGGTTACGCCTGATAACATATACGCCTACCTTTGCTCCAACAAAAACAAATACTGCAACTCCCTGTGCATGAATCACCCGTTTCTGCCACTGCTTATGCAGACGTTTCTGATAAGGAATCTGCGAAGGACTTCGAAACGTCAGAGGAATAAAAGTCTTGCCCAACGATCACATCCGTTTTTTCTCAATTACTTTCAGGGACTCGAATACTCGCTTGTACTGAAAAAAGCAATTCCAGTCGACGTTTATATCAGAAGCAGGAATGCACTGAATTATTAAACACTAACCCAGTGAAGATGCTAATTCGAAGGGTTGCCATTCAACGTTCCACTGCCCCACAATATTTCCGATAGGAAAGCTGGACAAAGAGGACAACCTCCCACAAGAGTTTAGCAGCAAATTTATC